ACAACCTGTCTAAAACCCTGTGGCAGACGCCGGCCTCTATTGTGCCGACCCAGAAGGGGGTCGAGAGAAGATACTCTGTACCCCAGGAGGGGCATGAGTATCTTTTTACCCACCCGGCTCCGGGATCCATAGTGGTTCAGGCCGCTGAGCAGAAGGAGCGCCAAGGGCCTCCAGGCCCCACCCCGAAGGCAAAGGAGCCTAGGAGATTGGACCTGCTTGGCCGGAAGGCCTATGCCACGGGGGGCCTCCAGCTACGTATAGCTAACCAGCAACTGATGCTGGGGCGTTATGCTTTTAATACGTGGGCGTCTATGCAAATTTGCCAGCCAGCTTCCTCCCGAATCCCGCCAGGAGTTCGGGGCCTTGACGGAAGAGGGACAATCAGTGGCGTGTACCTCTCTCCAGGTGGCCTTGGACGCAGCCGATTCAGCAGCCCGCACCATGGCCACAGGGGTGGTGATGAGGCGTAGTGCCTGGCTGCAGGTGTCTGGCATCCCACCCGAGGTGCAGACCACCATTCAGGACCTGCCCTTTGAGGGGCCGTCCTTGTTTACATTCCAAATGTATGATGGTGGTGGCCGCATTCCTGAGGTGGCACAGGGTCCAAGTGTTCCCATACCTGGACAACTGGCTCATAAAGGGCAAGTCTCGAGAACAAGTACTGGACCATGTCTTGAGGGCCAGGGCTCTGTTCGAGGGTCTCGGCCTCCTCATAAACAAGGCCAAGTCACTGCTAGAGCCCAGGCAAGTCATAGACTTTATGGGGGCCCATCTGGACTCGCCTTTGGGCAAGGCGTCCCTACCGAGAGACAGATTTATGACCATTCGCTGTCTGGTAGTAGGTCTGCAGGAGTTCCCGACTACGACGGCGAGGACCTGCATGAGGCTCCTAGGTCACATGGCCGCGGGTGGTAACTATCCCTCAGGACAGTCTGCGCTCGCTGGACTGGTGGAAGGACGAGGGCACGGTGTGTGCGGGGGTCCGATTCACCAAGCCATCCCCGTCAGTGCAGCTGGTCACGGACGCTTCGGACGTGGGATGGGGCGCTCACCTAGGCAACCTCAGGACGCAAGGTACATGGTCAACAGAGGAGGTTCACCTCCATATAAATATCAAGGAGCTGCGGGCAGTCAGGTTGGCCTGCAGGGCGTTCCTCCCCCACTTTCAGAACAGAGTGGTGGCAGGGCTGACAGACAACACTACGGCCATGTTCTATATCAACAAGCAGGGTGGGGCGCGTTCCTCTCCCCTGTGCCGGGAAGCCCTAGATCTATAGGAACTGTG